CACATGTTTATCCTCGTTCTACTTCGAATGGATTTTTTTCAGTAGCCTTTTGTATAGAAGTGTTGTATGCTATTTCCAGTGAGGGCACTAGAGTCTTCCAGTCGTGAGTATATCCTTCTCCATCTTTAAACGCCAGGCCGTAACCACAGTATCTTCTAATAAGGTCTTCCAGACTACTTATCATCCTCTCTGCTAGTCCGTCCGTTTGTGGATGATATGCCGTTGACATCGACAATTTTGTTCCTGTCAGTGAGTATAGGCCCTTCCAGAATTCGGATGTGAATTTCGGGTCTCGATCGCTGATTATCACTCTTGGTAATCCTGCATCTGATACTATTCTTTCCCAGAATAGCAGAGCCAATACCGGAACCGCTCCGCAACATTTAGCGGTATCGGAGCGGTATCGGAGCGGTTTTTACACCGCTATATTCACCACAACATATAGTGGTGGCTCCGCTCCGCCATCCGGATGCCAGAAATCAGATATCGGAGTGACCGCTCCGATACCGGCCGGGTCTGAGGGTACTCCAATTTAAGGTTTTACCCCTTATAGCAGCGATATATAGCGGTATCGGAGCGGGCAAATACCTTCCGCTCCGATACCCTGTGATATTTTTTTAACAAAAAAATATCGGTCAAGTATTGCTTGTCTCATAGCGGTCACTCCGCTCCGATACCAAAATGGGTTGAAATCCATAGCGTATCGGAGCGGTTCCGGTGTTGGCAGAGCTACGTCCATTGCTGTAGCGCTTTTGTGACATGGTAAAAAGCGGCATCTCTTCGAAAATCTGTCTACTATTACTAGGACACAATCTGCATTATCATGACCTGCTGGTGGTAGGCCGGTAACAAAATCCATATTGATTATTTCCCATGGTACTTTGGGTTCGTCTATTTGTTGAAGTAGTCCTAGCTTCTTCCCTGTCGCGCGGTTGGTTTTCTGACATTTGTCACATGTCAAAACATATTCTTCTGTAAGTTTTCGCCAATCTGGCCACCACGCTGTTTGTCAAATCCTATCGACTGTCCTATCTAGGGACAAATGTCCAGACATGACATCGTCGTGACAAATCTTCAGTATTTCCGCTATAGTCTTGTCTGATGTTACTACCATCACGCAAGAATGTCTTTCTCTATGATAAAGTATCCCACTCAGTAAAGTGAATCTGCCTTCGTCGAAGTCTTTTTTCCAAATTCCTTCTAGCAATGTTGATAACTCTAGTAGTTTGTGATCTGCTTGCAGTATTTCTACCAGTTTTACCGTGTTTGATTCTAAGGTATAATCTTCTTTTATCTGATCAAAAAATTCATCTGACAAGTCTGTAATACTTATCCCCATGATAGGTATATCTCTAGTCTCGTCTTCCGGCTCCCATGCTGGGTTGTCGATATTATTATCTAGTGCCATCCTGCTCAGCGCGTCCGCGTTATCATGCTTCCTGCCGTCCCTATGTGTAATAGTCATGCATGATCGGTATTCTTGTATCGCTATTTGCCATCTTAGCATATGGCGATTTGGCGTTTTCATATTCAGGAGTGCTTTTAACGCTGTGCAGTCTGTAATAACCTCGAAGAATGCCCCGTCTAAATAATAGTGAAATTTGTCTAGAGCCCATACTAGACAAAGATTCTCTAATTGAGTTGCTCCGTAATTTAGTTCGGATTGTTTAAGCTTTCTCGAGATGCACCCTATCAGACCCTCATACGGTTTGTTGTCTATAATTTGGATGTGTTGTAAAGTTGCTCCCAACCCATCGAAACTCGCGTCTATGTATAGTTTAAAAGGTAGCTTGAAGTCAGTGTGAAGCAGAAAAGGGGCTTTGGTTAGTCTTTTCTTGACTATATTCCATGATTCTACTCTGTCCTGAGTCATTTCGAAAGAAACTCCTTTCTGGAGTAGTTTATATAGTGGTCCACTAACCTTGGCAAATCCTTCTAAGTGTGATCTATAGTAATTTGCGAAGCCTAAAAAGGATTGCACTTCTTTAACCGACTGCGGTATTTGTTTTTGCAAGATAGCTGCTACTTTATTCTGATCCACGGCTATCCATAGTCCTGATACCACGTGTCCTAGAGCTTTCAGCTCCTGAAATGCAAAATTCGTTTTCTGCAAAGAAATCGTCATTCCCATTTTTATAAACTTTTCGAATATGTGTGTCAACCTCCAGAGATGCTCCTCCCATGTCTTTGAGAAGACTATAATATCATCTATGTAGATAATGAGCCATCCTTTGCTAAGTTCCTCTGCAAATTCATTAGCCATCATCCTTTGGAAATGCGCTGGAGCGCCTTTAACTCCGAATGGCATACGAAGGTATTCGTGTATCCCTTTGTGCGTAATAATTCTTAACATCTTCCTAGTTTCTTCGTCTAAGGTGTTCTGATGAAAGCCTTTCATAACATCCATCGTTGAAATATATAGCGCTGCTCCTAAATTTGTGAGACAATGAGATATTCAAGGCATTGGGTAACGATCTGGTACTGTGAACGTATTCAAAGCCCTAAAATCCCCACACATGCGGGATTTCCCATTGTGCCATGCGATTATCACGGGTGTTGTGATATCGACATCTTCATTGGCTCCAACTTTACGTATGATTCTGTATCTTGTTAGCTCCTCTAGGTGCTTCTCGATCTCATCCCTACTTCGCGGGCTTGCGGGGTACGCTTGTTTCTTCAGTATAGGAGGATACGGTTTCTGAACTGTTAATCTCAATTTAAGCTCATGTCCTACAATGGTCCCTATAGGATTTTCTCCGTAAGCAAAGGCTTTTCGGTATTTCCTCAGTAATGCTCTCAGGGAATGTAATTCAGACAATTTTAATCTGGGAGATATGCTGCATTCTCCTACGGCTTTTTCAAAGCTATCCTCCATATTCTGTATGGCTGATATTTTACCTTCTTTGAAAAGACTTAGCAGGAATTTTTTCTTTTTATTTTCGTTCCCGATAGTAAAGTATTTCTCTTTACTATGGACAATATCTATGCCATACAGTCTCAAATACTCTCCTCCTAAGATGAGATAGTTAGAAGTCGCATTCTTCATGACTACAAATTCCGGTTTAATCCTGACCGATCCTTGGTGATGGGGAAATATGATAGGTATTTCTATTATTCCTAATGCTTGCAGTTTTCCATCGCAACCTCTAAATGTCATAGTGCTGGGTGGTAACATTTCCTCCTTCCATCGAGGATAAATGGCGTTCAGATAATCTGTTCCTACAATCGAACAAGCTGCTCCACTATCTAGTAATGTATTTGCTTCTGTTTTATCGTCTAACAGCACCGTCGTGATACAATGGTGTCCTATCGTGTGGGCTCTGCCTCTCTCTGTCTTGCTCATCATCAGTCTAGCGTCTAATATCTGTTTTGACTTTGTCTCTCCATCCCATTGTTGAGGGGTAGCCGCCTGTGATTGTAGTTCTGCGATGTCCAATCCCTCACCAGGTTCGGTGGTAATCGTCGCTATATCATTTCCTTGATTTCTATCTTTGTTCCTTCTGTATGCTTCCAAGGATATAAGCTCAAAAGAAAATGATTCATTCACTTCCCATATTTGGCATGAAGCTTGTGGTCCCATGCTAATTGTCATATTGAGTTCTTTCATTGCTTCGCACCCAAGTGTTAAGAATTCTGAATGTTCTTCTTTGATAACAGAGACTTTGATGTATATAAAACATGGTCTCGTTTTATGTTCTAGTCTGATAGGTAATTCAATTGACCCGATCAGCTCTGGTTCTACTGTTTCGTTCGAGCTATCTCCTTTATCCCTGGAGTTCATGTCCGTTTTCCAGGTCGGCCAGCATTGATCTAGCGTCCCTGAGGATACAAATGATCGTACTCGCGATGTATCGATAAGCATGGCTTTCTCGAATCCTCTGACTGATACTGTCAGGTATGTGTCTACTGCTAGTAGTTGTATCCTTTCCCGCGATATAAACTTAAAAATAGTTGCTGAAACTGTCCTATTTTCCGCTTCTTGGATATTAATCGCTAGCTCATCTATGGATGACCCTTGCGTTACATTTGTAACAGTTTCTTGTTCCTCGGTATCTGTATCTGGATGATTGTTTTCTGTTACTCGTTGGGACATATCTATGTTACTTACACAGAACTCCTCCTCCTCATCTGTTGTGTCATTTCTGATTGATTCTTGTACCGATATTTTGTTATCCGAATGCTCCTTGTCATATTCGAACTGATTGTCTTCGCAGTTTACTGCATTGATTGGTTTCTTACCATATCCTTGTCGGCTTTCTTTATTCCTGAAGGGAAATTTCGAAGCGTTATTTCTATCGCCTCCAGCATATTTGCTCTGGTTTTGATCTTTCGATCTCATGTCTCTTGAAGATGAGTGATCTAAATCTTTACTTATGTCTTTTGGGAAAGAGCTCTTGGTTTCTCTAGTGTTACTAAAGGTAACTTTTAGATTGTTTGGTCTATCTAGTGCTCTGCCTATTGAGGTAGTTGTAACTATCTCTTCAAAGATATTCATAAAAGCTTCAAAACTAGTTTTCTCATCAATTCTCGATTGGATTGCATGTTCTAATTCCCCGAGGCACAAACTCAGTATTTTGTCTATGTGTTCGGATGTTGTAAGGAATGGCCAAGCCGCTTCCATCCTTTTACGCTGTGTTAGCAACCAAGGAGTAGGTCGAGATCTATACTCGTTCCTAAACTTATCCTTTTCAAATGCTGAAGCCATCCTTCGCTTCCACAACGGTGTTCCGAAGTCTTCTTTAATGGCCTTCTTCCATTCCGCCCAACTTGCCTTAACTAAGGCTTTCTTTTTGCTCTGGTACCACGCACGCGCTGTTCCCGTTGTAACTATCGCAAGTTTGCATGTGATTAACACGTCCGGCATTTTGAACTCATCCTGGACCCCGTCTATCCATTCAATCCAATCAAGGTGATTATATTCGCCTTCACCACTGAATCTCGGCCAGTCTCTTGATTGTAGATAATCTTTATGCAATAGCTTTAGGACTTCTAGGTCCATTTGTGTTTGTTCGTTTGTTTTTTCACCAATTCTATTACTCTTGTTTTGCACTATATAATGGCGTTCTGGCTGATGCGCATTACCAGTTGTTATTTCAAATTCTTGTGCAAACAGGTTGTTACTGGTTGCTACCTCCGAATCTGGAACAATGTGATTCAGGATGCTGTGTTCTCCGGTTTGAGTTTTAACTCTCGTGGTTAGTTTATCCATTAATGATACCAGTCGTACTACGTTCCGGTGTATCAAAGAACAGTTCAAACTTTGTTCTGTCAATTTATTGTCTACTAGTTTGACTAGTCCCGCCAGGTGCCTACTATTAGCTTCAACTATTTCTTTATTTACCATAATGGCGTTAGACATAATATCGTCTATGTTTTCCAGGTGTTCGTTTAGCATTTTGTTTATCTCTACCGGGGTAAACTCTTTGTTTGCATTGTCTATGCGTTGTTTCATTTCTTCGAAATGTACATTCATCTCATCATTTAATATGTTTAACCCTAAATCCCACTTCTCGTTGAGTAGTGTGACGGATTCGTTAATTTTATTCTCAATGTTGTTTTGCAATGTATTAAATTTTGTCTCTAAATCTAATTGATTGTCGTTCCAGGATATCATTGACTTAGGTGATAGGCTCTCCGTCTGTAGTCGCAAGCCTTGAAATTTGGTATTCAGACTCTTTTCTCCTTCTGCTGATATTGAGCTTTTGTCATCTGAGATCTCTCTTGGTACTCCTCTGCGCAAAGACAAGAATTTCTTAAATTCCGTTTCTTTGAGTATGTGCTCAATACTTTTAGTATTTTTCGTTTCTCTGCTCAACTCAGCTATAAATTTGTTTTTGTCGAAGTTCTCTCTCAAACTCACGGGTGTTTTTCTCTCGTTCTGAGAAAAGGTCTTGTTTGTTTGGCTCACTTGTTTTGGTGCGGGCAAGGTTATGGCACGTTGAAAAATATCATCTTTGATTACAGTAAGGCTAGGAACGTGAGCATGATCTACTGTACTACTTGGGACATGAGTAACATTCTGCGTGACAGGCATAGGTTGATGGGGCATAGGTTTAACAGGCAAAGAAACGGAACTAATAACGGTTTTATCTACGTTTTGGGGAGCTAAATTAATTCCAAGTCTATGAGAGTTCAAAAATGGGCTGGGAGTAGATTCGAAAATCCTATCTATTGTTGAGGATTTTGTTTGCCTTTCCCCTTGTGGGGACCTCTCATCCCTTTCACTGCTTGGTAATAGGCTCTGCTGAAAGACAACATTTGTTGCATATTGTGGGCTTCGTCCTCCGCTTGAGCTGGTCTGTTGTACGGGGTGTTTGACTGTTTGTGAGGTTGGTTCCTCGACGGGCCTGCTGACGACTCCGCCTGAGTCGGTCGTTGATACTGATTCGTTTGCGGTTTGAGGTATTGCTCCTTGCCTATGAATCCCCCGGAGGTCCTCGCTAGAAGGTTCTGTTCTTCTACATGAGGATCCCAAGGGTGGCAGAGCGCTTTTGTTGCCTCCTCGCCAATCAGAATCGTCAGAGTCTCGTGAGTCGATTTCCACAACTTGAGATAGATCATGATGTTTCGAGTGTTGTTGGGGTTCGATGCTTGCGCGTCTCTCCATTTGGTGAAATGGTACTCGTACAGTTTCACTATGTGATCCTGTTGCTCCAAGTCCTGAGCAGCCTGGATTTCCTGAGCTGATGGTTCGGTTGTTTGGTCTGGTAGCATCGGAACATCGTCGTTTGCTCCCGATCGAGCTGGATCTGTGGATGGAATCCGAGTAGTTTGGCCGTTCGAGGCTGCTAACTCTGGAGGATTTACGGGGCGGCATATTTATTAATATTCAGTGTGAAAGTGAGGAGTTATACTACGGAAATAGATTGGTATATTTACCAGGTGGATCTCCACTCGTAGTCGATGCCGTAGTCGTAGCCGTACTCCGAGCGGCTAGGTGTGACTCGTTGCTTGGGTTCTGGGCTGACAAGACTGATTGGATTCTGTCTACTGCCTGGTTCTGTTTGGTTTGAGCTTGATTGGGCTGGCTCGGCTTTGTCACTGTTCACGCAGTGGTTAGTTTTTTGTTTCAATTATCACTTGTCAAACCATTTGTCTGACTTACTCTTGATTCTTGAGTCCTTCCGCTTCAGCAATTATGGACCAGCAGCGTTCCCAAAAGCTGAAGCGCAGCTGGAACGGAGCTGAAATACGTTCCGCTCCAGCTTGCTGTAGCGGTACATTTGCAGAGCTTCGCTGCGAGACCTGGCCAATGTCAATTTTATTCTTGCGCTACGTTCCAGCGCCAGTGACTGAAGAGAGCAAAGAACGAGCTACGTTCTTGGTTGAAGCGTCGTTGTGCAACGGTGCAGCGGCCGAACTATCAATCGGGGCCAGTCCCCCGGGTAATCTACTACATTAACTGCATTACACCGCATATGGTAATCCTCCTCTCCCAAAGCAGACTACCCTCTGATTCAAACAATCCCAATGAAGGAGTCCCATCCCTCGCTTTCACGATACACCTTTCATCACCTGTTGCAGCCACCCTCGATGGACGGTATTCGCTTAAAAGGTCGCTTCAAAGGTACTTTGATGACCCCTTGATTTTCCGCCTTTTTTTATCTCTTTAGTTAGCTGACTGACCAATTACCTCTCCTGCCACTATCATTTGTTTTCTAGTCGTAGCGCTTTATAATACGATTTTTTTCCATCCACATTTCACTTTCTCTTCCAATTTAAAGATGCCGATACAATCTAAACTCTCAATGTCATCCTTCCACAATTCTGACGCCGACATTGGAAGTCTATCGAACACTCCTTCATCAGTCAGTCGACCTCAACGTACACGTAATCCACCCTCCAACCCAGGTATGGTTTCGCCTTGTCCTGATGGTAGACGTAGAGTGTCTTTGGATCTCTCGGAACCTGGCCCTTCAAAACGGAAACAACCACCTTCAGAATCAGTCATTGAATTAACCTCTGCAACTGCTTCGAGTGATGCCGAAAGTAACAATGGATCGAGTAAGGGTAAGAAGAAAAAAAACCAAAAAAGAAAGTAGTGGCCAAGAAGCGCAAGATCAACAATGACAGCAATGAGGTATTCAATTAGTATCCCCTTTTGAATAATGTCGTCTTCAAGTTCAAGTCTCAACCACTGACTTGCTTTTTCCTGTTTAGATCACGTGTACTGGCTCGAAGTTCGTGACTCGAAAGGACTTGCAAGCCGACTCAGAAGATGAAAACGAGAAAGTGAAACCTCAAGGCCGAAGAGGTAATGCAGAGCAGTTGCAAGCAGAATCATTGCTAGCATATTATGGAGAGCCATTTCACCGGGCAGCTGGTCCAAACCAGAAGGCTGATGTAATCAACTCACATTTCAAACTTCTTTGAGATAAAACTTGTTAACATACATATTTCTTTCCCTCTGATTTAGGATGTGACGAAAGCTCCTCTTAGTTATCCTTGTACATGGTGTGCAGATGACCCTAAGAAGCCAGTTGTTGTTCGTGTCAGTCTCAGTAATCTAACGACCAATCTGAAGACACATCGAGATGGTCACACTGCGGATGGACGTTCGAAGACCGGTTGTCCAGGTCGAGACCGAGCGCGAGCTTCTGGACTTGACGTACCACTTTTGTCAGGGTGGCTACTATATGAGAAGGTAAGTTGTCTAGTAACACTTACTTTCTAGTCCTGACAAATGATCTTACTGGATACGTAGATCAGATAACTAATTTATTAATTGGTTAGTCAATATTTGTCCTACAGATAGTAGCAGATATTAATTGAATCACACTTTAAGGGTAAGGAGAAGGTAAATATAACTAACTATTCCGAGGCCTACTGTAGGATTACAGAAGAAGTTGGTCGGGCTTTAGGCCTGGTGTTTCTTCAGAGATACGAGTATCTAAGAGTAGCCTGAGTCGAACCTCAGGGATCTCGTCAGCGATGAGCTGCGAAACCTAATGGATAATGACCAAGGAAGTCACTTACCGGTAAAGGGTAAGTAACAAGAGTTTATCAAGGAAGGTGGCTTGATAAGGTACTAAGGTCTTCTCGAGTGTCTAACAGAGCCAGAAAGTACTAAGTACGATGGGACGGTGATAGAACTTTAGCCGATAGACGATAGAAGGATTTAAAAAGTGAGATTGGATTTTTAAAGAAAGAAAAGGGTGACGCTTCTTCAATAACAAGTTTCTAAGGAATGGAACTAAACGGTGAATGTCGAGCTGGATTCTTTCGAGAACTAGTACGTTTATTTTAGTATGTCTAAAATGTTGGGTGCTGAAGGAGGTGAGGTCCTTCCTTCTTAGTCAGAAGAGCCTCTTATTTATACTGGCCGAAACCCAGGACTGACTCGAATGATTTGGTAGGTCTAACGAATGGTTTCATTTCTGCTTGAGACACATTCCTCGTTGGTACGGGGTTTTCGGACGTTTATGGATGTGATTATAAGGGTTTAAGGGTATAGGTTGTTTCGACGGGTCTTTCTTGGTTAATGCCAAGGTGGTTTCATTCTTATTCAGGCATCTTTAACTTGGCAGTCATTACGGATAATTCCTTGAGTCCCTTTTCGGTTTAGTTTTGGTAGTGATGTGTTTCCAGGGTTCTTTGTGAGTAACATCCTTTTGTTGAAAAAGGTCTTTTAGTGTGATTCTGATTTCGAAACTAGGCATGAATTGATGAATATTGTTTCTATTTGTCTTTTTTGAAACATAGCATATTCTCCACTTCTAGAAATGGGGAATGTGGTATCCTCGTTGTTGTCTTTGAAACTAGACACAAGGTGTGAGGGTTTTTTATTTTATTTTATGTAATAGAAGATAGAAAAGTTGTTGTCTTTGAAACTAGACACACGATGTTGGTTATTTAAAGGAAATATTAAAGAAGATAAAATGTGTATTTTTATATTTGTTATTTTATATAGGTTATGTTTTAACTTGAAGCTCCTTTGGCTTTGCTAAGGTCAAAGCTCGGGGGCTGACATTCCCCAACCACAAGGAGGTGTATCGCCGCCCCAACCACAGGGTAGTTAATGAGATTTATTAGCTTCCCTATTGGCTGCTCGGAATTTTCTAAGCAGTGCTATAGAGTTGGGCAGTTCTGAGGCTTCTATCCATTTATCTTCGTCCGCACCGCCACCCTTCATCCTGGCTAGGTAAAGGCGTGTCTCTTTCCCGTTGATTCAGACGAGTTTTTGGCCGATGACTTTCTTTACGGTTCCTATTGGTTCGTCCAGAACCGGTAGGTCTTCCTCGATATCTTTTTCTCTATGCGGGAATTCCTTTGCGTCCGATCTCTCGTATTTTTTGAGTAAAGACACTGGAAAAACTGGGTGTTTCCTGGCAATCGCACCGGTTAAGATGACCTCTACTGCATTTCTCCCATGTAGTGCTTTTACTACGTAGGGTCCGACAAAAGCATCCATCATTTTCCGTGGTCCTCTCAGATTTGTGAAGTTGATCGTGGATATAAGTACAAGATCTCCTATCTGGAACTCTGGCTCCCTATGGGATTTATCCCAACGTTGTTTGTTGTATTCTGCTGACGCTTTAATACACTCCAGCGCATGCTTCCTGGCCTTGCTGAGCATGTTATGGAAACTTACTGCTGTAGGATGAAAAGTTGCATCTCCTCGGTGGACTGCGTTTCTCGGAGTGCGTACATTATAGCCCCTTTCTACTTCAAACGGAGTTCTGCCTGTTGTGCTGTGGATGCTTGAGTTGTAGGCTATTTCCAATGCTGGCAGTAAACTCTTCCAGTCGTGGGTAAACCCGTCTTTGTCCTTGAAGTCTAGACCAAAGGCGCAGTATCTTCTGATCAGCTCCGAAAGGTTGCCTATCGCTCTTTCCGCTAAGCCATCTGTTTGTGGATGATGAGCTGTTGACATAGCTAATGACGTACCACAGAGTTGATGTAGGCTTTTCCAAAAATCCGATGTGAATTTAGGATCTCTATCCGAGATTATTGCTCGGGGAAGTCCTGAGTCTGTAACAATCCTTTCCCAGAACAAAAGGGCAATATCCATCGCCGTGGCTTCCTTGTGACACGGTAGGAACCGACATCTTTTCGAGAACCTGTCGACAATGACTAAGACGCAATCGACATTGTCGTGTCCTGCTGGTGGCAAACCCGTCACAAAGTCCATGTTTATGGTGTCCCATGGTATTTCGGGTTCTTCAATTTTTTGTAGGAGGCCAAATCTTTTGCCTGTCGCCTTGTTTGCCTTTTGGCATCTATCACAAGTGCTGGTATAGTCCTCTGTCACTGTGCGCCAACCTGGCCACCAGGCCGTCTGTTTGACTCTTTCTAAGGTTCTGTCGAGCGATAGGTGTCCGGACATTAGGTCGTCGTGACAGATTTTAAGTATATTCGACTTCATCTCTGTCGATGTGATTACCATCACACACGAGTGTTTCTCCCTGTGATACAGGATGCCACTCAGTAGAGTAAACCTGCCTTCGTCAAAGGATTTCTTCCAAGGTTCTTCGAGGGTTGAACTTAGATCTAAGGACTTGCAGTCTTGTTTGAGGATTTCTAGTAATTTCACGGTATTTGGTTCCGTAAGGTATTCTTCCTTAATTTGGTCAAAAAATTCTTCTGACATGTCAGAGATGCTTATACCCATGATAGGTAAGTCACGGTTACTATCCTCCGGATCCCAAGCAGGATTCTCGCTGTCATTAGCTAGCGCCATACGGCTCAGTGCATCCGCATTGTCATGTTTTCTCCCCTCCCTGTGGGTAATTGTCATGCATGATCTGTATTCCTGGATGGCAATCTGCCAACGTAACATGTGTCTATTAGGTGTTTTCATGTTAAGGAGTGATTTGAGGGCGGTACAATCTGTTATGACCTCGAAGTAAGCGCCGTCCAGATAATAATGAAATTTTTCCAGGGCCCATACAAGGCACAAGTTTTCTAATTGAGTTGCTCCGTAGTTAAGCTCGGATTGTTTCAACTGTCTAGATATGCAGCTAATCAGGCCTTCAGAAGGCTTTCCATCTATGATCTGTATTTGTTGCAATGTAGCACCAAGGCCGTCAAAACTTGCATCGACATAAACTTTGAATGGTAATTTAAAGTCGGGGTGGAACAAAAATGGCGCTTCTGTAAGCTTTTTCTTCAATGCGTTCCAAGAGTCTACTCGGTCTTTGGTCATCTCAAAAGCTACACCCTTCTGTAGCAATTTGTACAAGGGTCCACTTACTTTAGCAAATCCCTCCAGATGGGATCTGTAGTAATTCGCGAATCCTAAGAAGGATTGTACTTCCTTTACAGACTGTGGAATAGGCTTTTGTAGGACCGCTGCGACCTTGTTTTGGTCGATGGCAATCCAAAGTCCTGAAACTATGTGTCCTAGGGCTTTAAGCTCTTGAAAAGCGAAGTTTGTCTTCTGGAGTGAGATCGTCATTCCCATCTGGATGATTCTTTTGAAGACTAAGGTCAGTTTCTCGAGATGGTCTTCCCATGTTTTCGAGAATACTATTATGTCGTCGATGTATATGATAAGCCAGCCTTCACTGAGTTCTTTTGCAAACTCTGTGTCCATCATCCTTTGGAAGTGTGCTGGTGCCCCTTTTATTCCAAAGGGCATTTTCAGATACTTGTGAATACCTTTGTGAGTAATGATCCTCAAGAGCTTCCTGCTTTCGTCGTCCACCAGATTCTGGTGAAATCCCTTCATGACGTCCATAGTCGTGATATATAGCGCTGCTCCAAGATTGGTCAGACAGTGAGTGATTCTAGGCATTGGGTACCTATCCGGTATCGTGAAGGTATTCAATGCCCTAAAATCCCCGCACATTCGAGACTTGCCGTTATGCCATGCGATTATTACCGGTGTGGTTACGTCGACTTCTTCGTCGGCTCCAACCTTCCTGAGGATACCAAATTTAGTGAGTTCCTCTATGTGCTTTTCTATCTCATCTCGACTACGAGGGCTAGCCGGGTAGGCTTGTTTTTTCAGGATAGGAGGGTACGGTTTGGCTATATTGAGTCTTATCTTAAGCTTGTGATCAACTACTGTACCAATTGGTGTGTCTCCAAAGGCAAAAGCTTCACGATATCTGGAGATAACTGCTTTCAGTGAGTGTGCTTCCGATGCTTTAAGCCGGGGTGAGATGTTGCATTCTCTGAAGGCTTTTTCGAAAGACGTATCGTTGGTTTCTGAAATGCTCTCGATGTGCTGGAAGGGCTCAAATTCAATAGAAACTTCTTTTTCTTATTTTCATTGCCAATGGTAAAGTATTTTTCTTTACTATGTACAATATCTATACCGTACAATCGTAAGTACTCTCCCCCAAGGATGAGGTAGTTTGAAGTAGCGTTGTCCATAATGACAAATTCTGGTTTGATCCTTACCGATCCCAGTCTATGAGGAAAGACTATGGGTAGTTCAATGACTCCTAGAGCTCTCAGGGTGCTATCACATCCCCTGAATGTCATACTGCTTGGTGGCATCAATTCGTCCTTCCATTTGGGGTACACTTTGTCCAGATATTTTGTTCCGACCACTGAGCACGCCGCTCCGCTATCGAGCAAGATGCTGACTTTGTCCTTATTTCGAATCAAGGCTTGTGTAATACAATGGTGACCTATTGTATGAGCTCTCCCTCTCTCGGGTTGACTCATCATAAGTCTTGCGTCCGATATGAGCTTAGTAGAGTCCGAGCCTTCTTCCCATTCCTGAGGAACTGATGCTTTTGACTGGAGTTCCGCTATATCTAGTCCTTCAGTAGATTCCATGGTGATTGTAGAAATGTCATGTGTCGGAGAAGAAACTGGTGAGGGTTCGTTGTCCAGGGAGAATCTAAAAATTCTGTTTGCATTACGCAGTTCACAGAATCGTTCTGTGCCTAGGTATATCATGAACTTGAATTCCCTCAAATCTTGGCCTCCCAACACGGGGTACGTCAGTTGTTTACTGTCTTTCACAAAAAATTCAACGTTCAAAAAACATGGTCTGAACGAGTGTTCCATCTTAACCGGCAGCGTTATTTTTCCTAGTATCAACGTGTCCACCTCTGATGCATTGGTTGACCGAAAGTCTGTTTGCCATCTCGGGCACAGCACTCTAAGGTGGGACAATGATATCAATGAACTAGTGGAACCAGTATCCAGGATGAGTAGGTCTTGGATTCCATTTACAGAGATTCTCGCAAACAGTCTCGGGTCTAAAGTGTCGAGGGTGAATCTTTCAATGAAAGGAGGGTAGTTCGTTGAGATATGTGCCTCTTCGGCCACCAGAAGGTTCTGAGCTAATTCCTCCAAGGAGATGCCTCCTGAATCAGCCTCAACTGCTGGTGTATTCGTCAGATCTGTGACAGCTTCCTCTGTCTGTATATCTTCTGTCTGTCGGGACATGTCGACATTTCCAATAAGTAACTCGTCCTCGTCCTCCGTTGTATCGGATTCGGACGTTCTTAAGTCATCATCCCTTTCGGTTTCTTCGCTCTTTTCCGGTTCTTCGCCAACATCGACTGCGTTCACAGTTTTCTTGTCGAACCTGGGTTTCTTTGCATCGTCACGCCTAAAGGGTGCTTTGTCTTGTGATCTATAGGTGTTAGTGGCAGCTCTATTTTTATAGTCTCTGGAGCTTCGTTCCTTTGTATCGTATACG